CATGAAAATGAGGTCAAGGACATTGGACATGTGACTGACGGAACTTCGTAACATGAGGCATCCATATACAAAGTATGAAGCATCCAGGTCTTCTAGCTTCTAAAATATAAAGCTTTTAGGAAGTTAGCTAACGCCGCCGCCGCCGCCGCTGCCGGATCACTATCCCTATGTCGAGCTTTCTGCGACAAAAGTCGCAGGCTCGACAAAAATCAGTTGAAAAAGGCTTAACTCATCAGATCAATACAAAGCAGAACAATCAAACATAATCATAGACCAGACGTGGCAGGGTATTTATCCATCCCTCATCTATAACAATAAAAGGACACTAAGTACAGATCTGAGAGTACTCGCAGTTACTGACAGCTAGTTCAAAGCCACTAACAACTAATAAAAAAAACATGTATCAAAGACTAAAATATCAATCAGTACACATCCAACATCCAATGGATTTAGTGTAAAGACGTCGTTAACAGTCAGAGAAAAACATGACCTTGTGCAATGCCAAAATAAAGGTATCGACAGATTTTAGTACCGTTAAAGTGCATATGTGTACAAGACTGCATTGACTATTACTACAATTGAAAAGGACATATATGCTGTTTAAAGTGTTGTTGTCTGCATGGCTATAATCTTATTTTTGTATTCTCAACATGTTTTTCAAAAATACTATCCAGTGATTAAACAATTGGAAAAACGTCTGACAACTTTTGAACTGAAAATTCAGGGACAATGATGGGGTTCTAGAGTAACCTCTTCACATGACTCTACAAGACTGTGAATGCTACTATAATCCAATGCCTAAGGCAACTAATTGGTCTTATAAAGATCTGGTCTAGTTGTGAAAGTCTAATAAAAGTCCTTTAGTCATCATAAAAAATTGATTCCATATTGAAAAAAATAAAGGGCCCATTGGTCTTCGAGAAATTCTGATTAAGAACGTGAGGCTGTGTTCCTCACCTGGATTAATGCCCATATTCAACAATCACTCTCCAACATTATACACAAGAATATAATTCATGACTAAAATTCTCTCTTTTCCTGATCATTTTAGTTGTGTACAGTATTTCTCTACAAAAGTTTTGCTAAAGATGCCAAAATTGGAGAAAAAAAAATCATCATTTAAGGACAATAACTCCTATGAGGAGTAGATTGACAATTTCAGCTACATGGCTTATTTTTAGATCTTTTCTTGCTTATCATTTTAGCTATTTGAAGTTTCTCTTTAGCTAATATAGTTTTTGCCCAAAACCAAAAATGGGGTAAAATTTTCATTTAAGGGCAATAACTTTTATAAGAAGTCGTCAGACAGTTTTCATGTAAATACACTGTAGGCATAGATCTCAACTTTCTGAACATTTTTGCCCTGTCAGATCTTCTGTCTATAGCACTTTTCAAGAAAATAGACAAAAACTTGCATCTTATCCCTCTTCTATTTTCGCCATGTCGGCATTGTTGGTTGGCATGCAGGGTCATCAGGCACATTTTTGAAACTAGACACCCAAATGATGATTGTGGCCGTATTTGATTAAATGTGGCTCCTTAGTTTTAAAGGAGAAGATTTTCATAAAAGTAAATGGAGAACAACAGACACCAAGTGATTGGAAAAGCTCACACTGGGCCTTTGGGTCAGGTGATCTAAAAAAAAAAGTTATGTTAAGTGGACAAACCCGAGACTAAAAGTCCATTTTGTCTGAAAATACGCACTGGTAGGAACCTTTCACTTTTTGTGCTCTTCAATGCTTTACATTTTTCCTTTCTAAACCTTTGGTCTGGTTCATACCTGATATAGATAGTCCACAACATATTCTGTGCACACAACAGAAATTATATCATATATTTTCACTTAAATACTAGGCAATGATCAATATACCAAAATTGCTTTTCTTTTCTTAATGTTTTTCATTTAGGCTATCTTGAAACATATTATAGTCATTGTCTTTTTTCTTGTTCAATCTAGTTTTTAATTTCGTCCTGTACAGTAGTATAAAACCAATTCTTTGAATAGAACTCCTTTGACAATCTACTTTATCTGTCTCTTAATTTCCTGATAAAACAAATAAAAAATAAGTTTTCTATGTATTTAAGTTTGATTTCAGACATTAGATTTAATTATTACGTATTTAATTTTCTAAATAAGTATGAATTGATTTTTATACAAAAGATTTAAGAAAGTGCACAAATAAAATTGAGAATGGAAATGGGGAATGTGTCAAAGAGACAACAACCCGACCACAGAACAGACAACAGCAGAAGGCCACCAACAGGTCTTCAATGCAGCGAGAAATTCCCGCACCCGGAGGCGTCCTTCAGCTGGCCCCTAAACAAATATATATACTAGTTCAGTGATAATGAACGCCATACTAAACTAAAATTTAAACTATATGCAGCAATATTTCTAATTCTTAAAGAGATTTTTTTTGGTTCATCCTCACTTAGAGAAGATTACACAACTGCTATATAATTCTTTCTTATGATTCTAATTTCTGGTTTGAAAACTATATTGTAACTAAAATAAATGATTCCATTATGATGCTGCTGTTTAAAGCAGGATTTTCTATCAAGACATGTTCACTTATATTCTACAACAATTTTTATAGGTTCAAATATACTGTTTATTGCCAAAAATATAATCAATATTATACTACAATTTTGTACATCGTAAATATAAGATCCTGGGGAGGAAGCTTTTTGTCTCATCATTGCCAGAATGCTTGGTATCCCAGCTACAATGTTCCATCAAAGTAAAGATGGTTGGTAAATGGTTTGTCTAATTAACAAGTGCATAACTATCTGCTTTTCCTCTCTATCTTTAAATCACAGATGACTAATGAAGTTAAAAAAATGTTTCTTTAATTCTGATCAGTTATCTATCATGTCCTCTGTGAACCGAAGCCTCATGGGACAGCACATTTTCATAACATAAATCCTAATGAGAAAATCATGCCAATCCCCAGTCAGCTTCATTAGAGGAAAGTGAAGTAAAAAGCTTCTGACTAGAGAAGCACAGTCTGTAGAAGTAATTAATCCCATGATCATCAATGAAAGCACTCCATCAAAATTCTGTTGTAGTTTTTGGAATTTGAGTGACTGTTTTTAATATGAATTACATATGTTTTTGTATATTATTTTTGTTTATGGTGTATGAAATGTTACTTAAATCAATAGTTATCATTTTCCTTTTTATTTCATTTATTTTGTAATTCTCATGCAAGATCTCTCAAAGTGAGAAACACAAGTGCTGAAGCAATAACTGTCTCTTTTCCTTTCAAAGTGAATTCTGATTGGTAATTTCATTTGAAAAGTAACATATGATCTTGGCTCAAACCAATATATTATGGAGAAAAAAACCCAATTATATTGATTGATTGGTAATAGTTGTTGGGCTATGTCAGGGAGAACAAATTTAGTCAAAATAAAACCTTAAAATTCATTATATGTATTTGTCTCTTGACTGACAATAAAAAAGTAATTTGTACAAGCTTTAGAAAACAGAACTGCTTTTTTACCTATCGTACAAGCCAGTACAACTATAAATTTTGATATTTTTTTACATGTTCTTATACTCATTTAATAAGGACACTCATTTCTTGTCATTTTCCAACTCCCAGGTTCTTCCTGGTTATGAGTCGGACTCTACAAATTAGTGTAATTGACTCGGGCAAATCTCAAACAGACAAGAGTCCATCCATTTGGCTGAAAGTAAAAACCCAGGAAAACTGGATGGTATTTACAGACAAATCAGTATGTTCATTTGTTCATAGCTGCAATTCCGTTATTGTAGAAATCAAAATTAATTGAATTTGACAGTAATTAGATACCAACAAAAATATGTGTCCATGTTCAGTGAACAGCAAACTTTTGGTCCAAATCTTAATTTGGCATATATATTCTAAAGTTCACATCATGCATACTAAGTTTTAAGTTAACGTGACCACAACTTCATGGTAAACTGCCTTAATCCTTAAATACAAATTTTGTCCTGATGCAAGACAGACAGTTGGATCAATAAACTCGAAAAATAAATGCCCCTTTACTATTGTAGGCAGGGCATAACAATAAATTGTTACATACATACAGGTAGTAATTCAATTGTTACATAGATATAGGTAGTAATTCAATTGTTACATAGATACAAGTAGTAATTCAATTGTTACATAGATACAAGTAGTAATTCAATTGTTACATAGATACAAGTAGTAATTCAATTGTTACATAGATACAGGTAGCAATTCAATTGTTACATAGATACAGGTAGTAATTTCTCAATCACTGTAATAGAAGCAGCAAGCCAATAAACTTCATCTTTATGGCATTCAACTAGAAACAAGAGTGCACACACTGAATGTCTCACCTGCTTTACTGATCATGATTGATTTTTATGTTGAAAGTCCTTATAATAAAGGTTTATTTCAAGTATCACATAAACATTATATATATTATCTGGGACTATTATACTTATCATTTATTGTACTGAATAATATGTAAAACAACCAAGTCAAAGGTACAAAATGTGCTTAGCAGCTGAAGACTAGCAAATGCCAGTTAAACTGTCATATAAAGGATTTTTTTTTAACAATTCTTAACCATGTTTTTTTTCGAAGAAAAACAGTATTGTCAAAGTAAATATTTTCACAAAATTTGTTGTGGTCCAATAATGATATGTATCTAATAATTTTCAACTGTTCATGCTGCAATCAGTAAAATTATCTGTTTGTCTCTAACAAGGGTGTTTTTAAATCATAACCAATGCAATATTCTTATTGGTAAATATCATTTCTTTTCAGAAACATTTTAGAAGAAAAGAAAGATATATATTATTGACACGTTATGGTATGATTATCCCTGGCCTAGACAGTTTTTCTGTTCTTCTGTTAGATAGTAAAACAACCAGATGTACCAGTAGATAACCTTACTTAAAGCAGCGAAATTGAAGCATACCTACAATAGTACAAGCAACATGCTGGTGGTTGCTGATGTCTAAAATGTGAATGATAACATACCCCTGCATCACAATGGACTGAAGTCTTGGATCCCAGACTAACGATTCTACCATCTTTATAAAGCATTAGATTCTCACCTCTACAGCCTGGTTCACCACCTGAAAAGCATAAAAACTCTATCATTTTCTGATAATGAATATAATCATAAAAAATGTTGAATTGTTTGAGGATTTTTTTTCTCATTTTTCCAGAACTTAGTCTTTTTTCAGCAAAATTTATGAAAGAGGGTACCAGTTTTGTGTAATCAACTTCTACAGTTTTAACCCTAGAACCCTGAAACTTCACAGGAAGATTGCACAAATGTGGAAGTTGTGCACCTGCTATTATAGAATTGTTTGAGGATTTTTTTCTTATTTTCCAGACTTAGGAACTTAGTAATTTTATCAGCAAAATTTATGAAAGAGGGTACAAATTTTGTATAATCAACTCCTACAGTTTTCATCACAGAACCCTGAACATTCACAGGAAGATTGCACATACCGCTGTATGTTGAAGTTGTGCATCTGCTATTATGGAATTATCTGAGGAATTTTTTCTTATTTTTCCAGACCTGGGAACTTAAGACTTTTCAGCTAAATTTTGGAAAGATTGACACGTTTTGTGTAATCAACTCCTCCTACAGTTTCCATCACAGATTTCTGAAACTAAGAGAACGATTGCACATATACTGAAGTTGTGCACCTGCTGTTATGGAATTGTTTGAGGAAATTGTTCACAATTTTCCAGACTTGGGAACTTAAGTCATTTTGCAGCAAAATTTATGAAAAATAAAGGCAACAGTAGTATACAGCTGTTCAAAAGTCACAAATCGACTGAGAGAAAACAAATCCGGGTTACAAACTAAACCCGAGGGAAACACATCAACTATAAGAGGAAAAACAAAGGAACAACAGAAACACTGAAGTGCAAAAAAAACAAACGCCAACATACATAGAAACGAACTATTTGATAACAACTGCCATATTCCTGACTTGGTACAGGACATTTTAAGAAAAAATGGTGGGTTGAACCTGGCTAGCCAAACCTCCCGCTTATGAAAGTGGATACAAGATTTGTGTTATCAACTCCTCCTACAGTTTTCAAACTAGATTCCTGAAACTTCACAGGAAGATTGCAGGAAGATTGCACATATGTTGAAATTGTGCACCTGCTATTATGGACCTGTTTGAGGATTTTTTTTTTTTAACTTAGTAATTTTTCAACAAAATCTATGAAAGAGGATACAAGTTTTCAACTTCTCCTACAGTTTTCAACCCAAACCCTTAGACTTCACAGAAAGACTGTTTTTCCATGATACACAATAAACATTGAAAGTAGCTGTATCTCAAAGTTACAGCACTATTTTTTACAGACTTGGGAACTTCGTCTTTTTTCAGTAAAATTTCATGCATTTGGTTGAAAAATAACTACCCGGCCAAAAATATTACATGACAGTTGGAAGTTCCATTGGACCTTTAAATAACCTGCTGAGATTGACAATGAAAAAGCTAGACAACAGTATCATACTATAAATTCTGGCACAACACATAAACAAATCTATCAATAATAAACTGTCAAAATTTTAAATCATTTTCAGGATTATATTTGTAATTTTACAATGATATATAAGTAAATAAACTGTTGGCACAGAGATATTTCTCGCCTATCGGCATAAAATTCAGAAAAAGACAATCTGATGGACAGTACCATTGCTTATTAATTCATTCACATGACCATGATCTAGTAGGCAGGGCCTGAAAATGGTTGACAAACTGAGATGTACAGACAGTAATGTAACTATAGAAAATATAGTTGTCTATTGTAAGTAGTTCCTATCAATCTAACTTTAGCAGAAGACTTAAGTGAAAATTGATAATTAATTCAAAGTGACTGGACCATGACCTAGGCCGCAGGGCCTCGAAATAGTCGTCAAACTGATATGAACTGATAGTAATGCAACTTCATACAAAATATCATTGATCTATCACAAGTAGATCTTATCAAACTAACTTATGCAGAGAACTTAACATTGAAAATTGCTAATTAATTCAAAGTCACTGGACCATGTCTTTTTTGACAGGGCCTCAAAATAGTCGTCAAACTGATATGTACTGATAGTAATGCGACTTCATACAAAATATCATTGATCTATCACAAGTAGATCCTATCAAACTAACTAAAGCAGAAAACTTAACATTGAAAATTGCTAATTAATTCAAAGTTACTGGACCATAACCTAGGGGGCAGGGCCTCAAAATAGTCGTCAAACTGATATGTACTGATAGTAATGCAATTTATATTAAATATCAATGATCACGTAGTTCCTATCAAACTAACTTGAGCAAGAAACTTTACAATTGTTGACAACATTGTCATCGTCGCCTTTGACGGAAAAGCAATCCATATGTCTCGCTTTCCTCGACTTTCATCGCAGGTATGACAAAAAACTCATTCTGACATTATTGTGAAGCCTTTATAATGTACCTACCAAACAGTCCATAAGGTTGAAAGACTCTTCTCTCAGTTAAAATAGACAGGGTCAAGGATTTTCTCCATAAATATTCTCTAGTTACCCCATCACCTCCATGATGTTGACCTCTGCCCCCAGTATCAGAGTTCAAATGGAACCTCTTCAATATTACAGGGTATCTGTAATATATTCATAGACACACTTTTATTTGACCTATGAAATAAAAACTGAAGCCTCAAAGAATTACTAACTTTCTTTACTTGACTTTCATTATGTTTTATGACGTAATGGGCTCATCTGATCTCAAATTAGTAGTGACTTATTCTACAATGGAAGCAGAAAATCATCCAGAGTCTTTCATAGTTCTCATTTACTTCTTTTAATATCTGAGAAATATTAAATACATTGTATTAAGAGATGTAAGCTGTCATTTATTTAGTCATGTTTTTACTCCTTGGTCAATCTTTAATACATAAAATTATCCTTTTTTTACCAGAAATTGTTGTAAAATTAAATGTTTTCATGAAGAGGAAAGATGTGATAAGATTTTTCAATGATACTAATTTGCATTTGGATTTGTGTTTGCAATAAGCTACTACAAAGTGTATAGGAATCAAATACTAGTTAATCTTGCATAATTTATCAATCATACTTAATATTCCAACAAAATCATATATTTTCTTGTTCAATTAATTTAATTCTTAGCATGTGACAAAACCACATGGTACATACATTTGAATTAAGATATTTCATGAAGAGAAATGACCACTATGATAACAAGATAACAGCTTGTCATAGCCTAAAGCTAAAAACAATTGTAATGTGGAGTGCCTTTTTCTTGAAAACAATAATTTTGGCTTATTAAGCACTTTCAAGGACAGAAACTCTGGAAACAGAAAGAACTTGCAAACAAAAATGTGATACAATCTGAGGCTTCGTGACAACAACCAACATCATTCTTTATAAGTTTGGTTGAATTTGGCCTATTAGTTTCAGAAGAGTTGTAAATTGTGACTTTCCAAAGAGTTTAAATTGGAGCTATGTGCCATCAATGCTACCTTACCTTTTTTCCCCACCAAATCAACATTAAAAAAGTATCATTTGGAGAGTGTCTCCCAATCATCAATGTAAAGTTTCAACACAATTTACCATGTATTTTTGAAAATTGGCCAAAAAAATAACCAATTGCATCTGGTGACCATGTTTTTTGTCCAATCAGAACCAAATGTAGTCTGAAACTGCTCTGATGTCCGACAGGCTTTATTATGACTTGTTGGGGCTGTTGGAGTAAACCAAATGATGGTTGTAGAGGTCCTTCTATACATTTTTTATTCTTGCTAAATTGATTTCACTGTCCGAGTTGTTTCCGAGAAGAAGATGAAAATGTGATAATTTTAAATCGACTAATAAGAACCAATGAGAGCATTTTGTAGATGTCCATCAATACATCCTTCTTACCAAGTTTATTTTACAATGGCTTAGTTGTTTTAGAGAAAATGAAAAATGTGATTTTTGATAGGGTTTAAATGGAAACTATGTACCACCAATTCCATCATGTTTGCCACCCTATGCATTGCATATTGAATATGGATCATTGTGGTGGGTCTCTCAAGCACCAATTTTATAGACTTTCAAAATAGTTTGCCTTGTAGTTTAAATTTGGAGAAAAAGATTCTTTTAAAATGGCAAATCAGAATCAGAGATTGCCTCAGGCAGCCATGTATTTATTTGATTAGAACCAAATTAGGACAGTTAGTAGAAGTCTTCGATACATCACACCTGCCAACTTTATTTCACATTGGCTCAGTTGTTTCAGAGAAGAAGATGAAAATGTAATTTTGCGTAGAATTTCTAGGAGAACTGTGGCATCAATGCCACCATGATGGCTACCTAATCAACATCAAATGAGAATCATTTTTTTTAAATATCATGTATTTCACCTCTTAATTTCAGAGAAAAAAATCTTTTAATAGTTTAAAATTAGAATGAAAGATAGCCTCTGGCAGCCAGGTTAATCATCTGAGCACAAATAAGGATCTTTTGTAAAGGGTCTTCTTACCTTTCAAAATTGTTAAAACATTTCACCTTGTTGTTTTAAAGTTGAAGATATTTTTAGATTAGCAATTCAAAATTAAAGATAGTCCATGGCGACAATGTTTATTGTCAGATCAGACCAAATGACGTTCTTTTTTAGGTGACTTTTTATACATCACTTCTACCAAGTTTGGTTAAAATTGGCTCTTGTAGTTTAAGAGAAAATGATGAAAATCTGATTTTCCAAAGGGTTTCAATGTAAACTATGTGCCATATTAATTTTTTTAAGTTTGGCTGAAGTTGGCCATTTTTTTTTGTAGAAGAGAAGAAGATGAAAGTAGATTTCAAAAGGCATTCCTTTAGAAAATACTTTTCTAATTTCATTTGTGTAAACACCAACACTTTAAGTGCAAAAAGAAATAGAGACTGCAAAAGAATGCACAGAAATAGTTCCAAAAATAAATACTTATTCTGGGAGAAGTTTTTCTTGCAAGACACATTCACCCTACAGGAAGCTTGTGCCCTCCTTAAAAATGATCAAATTCATTCAACATCAATTTATATTTTAAACAAACATCTTGACATCACAAGCAAATATGTCAAAATTAAATCAATAGATTTGAAATTTATCATGAATTATGTATGCTGTGTTTATTATTTTGAAATTATTAAAGGATCTGATAACATTTTTACAGACTTGAAAAGATAAGAAATACTGATAATCAACAGAGGAAAATGTAACAAATCACTTTATTTTACATTATGTTTTATAATGGACACATTACAATTTGAAACAAAAAATACCCAGATAAAAAGCAGTAATTGATGAATAGAGAGATCCTAACCAAAGCCAGATCAAATAGATTGATGTTATAGCTTTCTTTCATGCACAGCAGTAGAACAGACTTTTTTTTAAATGTTTGGCTAAGCTATTTACTAATATTATCTAATATTTTTCAGTTAAGCACAAACTACATCCTTTATTTCAAAATATTACTATTTGTGTTCACTTTAAGGATGTACTTAGGTGAGGTTTAGGAATTTGTGTCAGATGTTCGGACTCCTTGGTTTTTTCTGTACGATACAGGGTAAAATATTTTGCCCCATAACACCCATTTTTCTTTTCATATAAGACTTCAATAGCTCATAATAGGCCATTTACTAATATTTAAGCAGATTCTAGATTTCTTTTCTTTCGATTTGAGACCCAAATAATACCAATGCAAATATAAGGTAAAAGTCACAATCAGCCTTTTCCTGTTATTTTTTAACAAGAGTGCACAAGTTGAAATGTCTCGCCGTCTTTACTAACCATTGATATTATGTCGATAGTCCTAAATATAAAGCTTTACTACAACTATCACATAAACCTAACTTGATCCAAGAAAATGAGGTCAAGGTCATATAAACCAAACGAGAAATACATGTACACCTTACAATCATTCAATACACTAAATATAGTTGACCTATTGCTTATAGTTTCTAAGAAACAGACTTAACCAAGAAAACTAAACATTGACCAATGAACCATTAAATTGGGGTCAAGGTCAGATGAACCATGCCAGGCAGACATCTACATCTTACATTCCTTCCATACAACAAATATAGTTGACCTATTGCTTATAGTTTAAGAAAAACAGATCAAACACAAAAACTTAACCCTGAGCAATAAACCGTGAAAATGAGGTCAAGTTCAAATAAAACCTGTGCGACTGACATATACATCATGAAATATTTCCATACACCAAATATAGTTGACCTATCGCATATAGTATTAGAAAAAAAGTCCAAAACTCAAAAAGTTAACTTTGACCTCTGAACCATGAAAATGAGGTCAAGGTCAGATGACACCTGTCAGTTGGACATGTACACCTTACAATCATTCCATACACCAAATATAGTAGACCTATTGCATACAGTATGAGAAAAACAGACCAAAACACAAAAACTTAACTATAACCACTGAACCATGAAAATGAGGTCAAGGTCAGATGACACCTGCCAGTTGGACATGTACACCTTACAATCCTTCCATACACCAAATATACTAGACCTATTGCTTATAGTATCTGAGATATGGACTTGACCACCAAAACTTAACCTTGTTCACTGATCCATGAAATGATGTCGAGGTCAAGTGAAAACTGTCTGACGGGCATGAGGACCTTGCAATGTACGCACATACCAAATATAGTTATCCCATTACTCATAATAAGAGAGAAATTAACATTTCAAAAAATCTTAACATTTTTCAAGTAGTCACTGAACCATAAAAATGAGGTCAAGGACAATGGACATGTGACAGACAGAAACTTCGTAACATAAGGCATCTATATACAAAGTATGAAGCATCCAGGTCTTCCACCTTCTAAAATATAAAGCTTTTAAGAAGTTAGTTAACGCCGCCGCTGTTGCCGCCACAGGATCACTATCCATATGTCGAGCTTTCTGAGACAAAAGTCGCAGGCTCGACAAAAATCTTACAGAAATTTCTGAATTGACAGTACTACAGAATAAATGTGGATAGTGTCCACATGTGGACACAGATGATGCCCCCTCTTGCATATCATATAGTTATAAAGGGACATAACTGAAGAACGATAAAAGTGACGCTACCCAAATTTGAACTTGATCTGAGTTTTGTGGTAATAAGCATTGTGTGTAAGTCTCATAACATTTGGTTAAGGCTAACTTAAGAAGATCACTATCCCTATGTCGAGCTTTCTGCGACTAAAGTCGCAGGCTCGACAAAAACCAAATATCTCGAAATGGAGCTCCATAACCTATCAATATTTTTAGCTCATTTTGTTCCTTAACTAATGCTCTTCCAACTTATAGTATCAATTTTAAATTCCAGATTTTTTTAATTTCACCTAAGTATATCCTTTAAGCAAGTCATCAGGAAAAAAAACTCAGCTAGAACCCATAGATTCATTGATAGGTTGCTTCCCTGAAAATGCTTGTTTGGTGATAATCAACTTTATTTCAGAGAGAGCACCTCATAAAAATTTTTTTGTCAAAACAGGAAAAAAAGTTCAAATTAATGCTCACAGATTTGTGTTCTTAAATCAAAGCAGTTATATGGGTTGTAAACAGGATCACCAGTTTGAAAAATGTTTTGATGGACATTCAGCCACTTTTGTAAAATTTGGATCATTTTTTTCATAACTGCTGATCTTTAAATGTATTTTACTGTATAAACCAATGTTTTACTCTATTTTATATAGTGGTAGTCATATTATATATTGGTCAGAGTCTTTTAATATTTTTTATTCATTTGCCAAATTTTTCAAGTTTTTGAAGTCTTTTGTTCGGTAAGGCTGTCATTCTCAATGATTTGTGCATATTCAAACCTAAAAAAATTTTCCATCATTTTTCTTATTTTATTTATGAGTAAAAACTTTTGTATTGATATTTTCCCATAAACACTCCTTCCTTTACCACCCTTTTGTCTTATACATTAGGACTTGAGGTATAACTAAATAAACACCTTTAGCTATTTCTCTTTGTACAATGACCAATTTTGCTTTATTTATTTTTTCATAAATGAAGTAAGTTTTCGAATGTGAGAACTTAAATCTAAAAACTGTTATGAAAGAACTTTAGGATTAATCTATTTTGGTAGATTGTGAAAACTAAATACCTAATAATTTATTCAAATATCAATCTATTATCAGTTTAGATTTATTATGGGGTCTTTACTGAGTGATTTATAATTTTGATCTGGACAAAGTGTTAATACCATATAGGTATGTTTCATTTGGTGTTAGAATATCAGAATATTGTCTGGTAATAACCTGAATATTTCAGTTATTTTATTCCACTGCTCTAGAATGGCTACATTAACACAAACAATAGAGATGGATTACCAGGAGGGTCTGAATTTTTAGGGTTTAACATTGTTATTAAAATACAATAATGGTTGAGAGTTACCAATAGAGTCACACCCAGAGGGATTCTATTATCATAATAAATTAAGAAAATTACATCTTAGTAATGGGAGATAACTCCTTGAAACAAACATTATTTCAAAGCTACTTCAAAAGTTTTTGCACAAAGCATCTAAACATAATAATTATTACATAATCAGGATTGTTGAATCTTTTCATTTTAGAATAGAGCCTTGAACAAATGGACATTTAATTGATACTGAAAGTGTTGTTACATAAAAAAACGCTTAGCAGCACTATATTGATGTATAATGGGAATATTATCCCTATTCATAATCCCTATCTTGTAAGAGTTATCTTATTGGTTAACACATTTTTAGGCCATTAATGAAAGAGACTTATTGTATAAGTATGCAATTTAGCAATCAATCAAGCATCAAACACTGAGGAATATTGCTGGGTCACTATTTCTGTTTTATCATGTTTCTGTACAGATGTCAACAGATATTTCTTTCCCAAAATATAGATATTCCTATGCAAAATTTAGAAGAAGGGATATTTATAGATCATAAAGTGTATTGCTGATTATTTTCACAGTTTACAGTTGCTCTCCATTATAATTTGGTTATACATGTAATAGCCAATCAGGGGGTAAAAAAACATTTTAGGGCAATACAAATGTAACTTGATTAAGATTTTCAATGATGTTGACATATTTGTAGATCTTGTCTTGCTGATAATCTTTGCTGTTATAACAGTTTCTCAACTTTCTCTCTATAACAAAGGTATAATGTCATTTAAGGGCAGTAACTCCTATAAGGGGTATATATTACAATGTAGTCTGATATTTAACGTGGAAAAAGGAAGTTGGTTGATCTTACCAGCATTTTTGCCTTGTCAGATATTTTCTACCTACCTGGTAGTTAATGTTTTCAAGATATAAGACAATTTCTTACACTTTACCCTTAGTTTTATTTTTAGACCTGGCAGTCATGTTGCACATAAAAGACAAACTTTATACTAGATACCTAAAGGATTATTCAGCAAAACTTTGGTTGAAATTGATCCATTGGTTTCAGAGAATTGAAAAAAAAATAGTTTACATCCACGGACGCCCAGTGATGGCAATAGCTCACATGGCCAATAGCCCAGATGGGATGAAAAAGTGACAATGTGTTTACCTTTTTCTCCAGACAATCGTTCTGTTTGGTAAAAACTGAAGTTTTCTATGTACATTTACGGTAGGAACTCAAGATACATGTCAACTTATCTATAAAATTTCCATGGGATACATATTACTTATGAAGTTTTTCTAATTAAAATACAGCATCAATACAAATTTCTTTTCTCACCTCCTTTCTAGTATTTCTGGGTCTGTAATTCTAGTGTTGGTCATATGTGTATGTACACCTGCTCTTCCATTCCATGTAGGACCCTATAATAATAATTAAAGATACCTTAGAATTCATGGAAAGAACATAAAAAGTCCCAACAAACTGTATTCTCCAAGCCATATAGATTATGTAGCAAAATTCACTATTTCTATCCATATTATAAAACTAGAGGCTCTCAAGAGCCTGTGTCACTCACCTGATTCTACTTTGGTTTTGGAAATCATGTAAAAATAGTTTAAAAGCATAACAGATACCCTAATAATGAGTGAGGCCAAATTTGGTTTAATATTGGTCCTGTAATTTAATAAAAAATCCTGGTGGCCATCTTGAACAGTAAATCGGCAACAAAGTAGCAACACTTCATCAGCACCTCACAAGAAACATTTATGCCATGTTTTGGTTTCATTCCATTCAGTGCCCCTCTAGAAGAAGCATTTGTATTTATTTCCCATAGGGTCTTATGTTAAAGGAAGTCCCCCCATTGGTGGCCATCATGGATGAAGGATCAGCTTCAAAGTAACAAAACTTAGTCAGCACCTCATAAGGAACATTCATGCATTGTTTTCAGTATGTGGTTCTCTAAAAGAAGACATTTGTATGTATTGTCCATAGGGTCCTTTGTTAAACATTGTCTCCATCTGGCGGCCATCGTGGATGAAGGATCAGCTTCAAAGTAACAACACTTGGTCAGCACCTCAAAAGGAACATGCATGCCATGTTTGGTTTCATTCCATTCAATGGTTCTCTAAAAGAAAACATTTGTATGTATTTCTCATAGGGTCCTATGTTAAACTAAGTCCTCCGCTGGCAGCCATCTTAGATTATGGATTGGCTGCATAGTAACAACACTTGGTCAGCACCTCATAAGGAACATTCATGCCATGTTTGGTTTCATTCCATTCAGTGGTTCTCTAAAAGAAGACATTTGTATGTATTTCCCATAGGGTCCTATGTTAAACTAAGTCCCCTGCTGGCGGCCATCTTGGATGATGGATCAGCTTCAAAGTAACAACACTTGGTCAGCACCTCATAAGGAACATTCATGTCATGTTTGTTTTCATTCCATTCAGTGGTTCTCTAAAAGAAGACATTTGTATGTATTTCCCATAGGGTCCCATGTTAAACTAAGTCCCATGCTGGCGGCCATCTTGGATTATTGATCGGCTTCAAAGTAACAACACTCGGTCAGCACCTCATAAGAAACATTCATGCCATGTTTGGTTTCATTCCATTCAGTGGTTCTCTAAAAGAAGACATTTGTATGTATTTCCCATAGGGTCCAATGTTAAACTAAGTCCCCTGCTGGCGGCCAACTTGGATTATGGATCGGCTTCATAGTAACAACACTTAGTCAGCACCTCATAAGGAACATTCATGCCATGTTTGGTTTCATTCCATTCAGTGGTTCTCTGAAAGAAGACATTTGTATGTATTTCTCGTAGGGTCCCATGTTAAACTAAGTCCCCATCTGGCGGCCATCTTGGATTATGGATTGGCTTCAAAGTAACAACACTCGTTCAGCACCTCATAAGGAACATTCATGCCATGTTTGGTTTCATTCCATTCAGTGGTTCTCTAAAAGAAGACATTTGTATGTATTTCCCATAGGGTCCTATGTTAAACTAAGTCCCCTGCTGGCCGCCATCTTGGATAATGGATCAGCTTCAAAGTAACAACACTTGGTCAGCACCTCATAAGGAACATTCATGCCATGTTTGGTTTCATTCCATTTAGTGGTTCTCTAAAAGAAGACATTTGTATGTATTTCCCATAGGGTCCTATGTTAAACTAAGTCCCCCGCTGGCGGCCATCTTGGATGATGGATCTGCTACAAAGTAACAACAACACTTGGTCAGCACCTCAAAAGAAACATGCATGCCATGTTTAGTTTCATTCAATTCAATGGTTCTCTAAAAGAAAACATTTGTATGTATTTCTTATAGGGTCCTATGTTAAACTAAGTCCTCCGCTGGCGGCCATCTTAGATTATGGATCGGCTTCATAGTAACAACACTTGGTCAGCACCTCATAAGGAACATTCATGCCATGTTTGGTTTCATTGCATTCAGTGGTTCTCTAAAAGAAAACATTTGTATGTATTTCTCATAAGGTCCTATGTTAAACTAAGTCACCCGCTGGCGGCCATCTTGGATGATGGATCAGCTTCAAAGTAACAACACTTGGTCAGCACCTCATAAGGAACATTCATGTCATGTTTGTTTTCATTCCATTCAGTGGTTCTCTAAAAGAAGACATTTGTATGTATTTCTCATAGGGTCCCATGTTAAACTAAGTCCCCTGCTGGCGGCCATCTTGGATTATGGATCGGCTTCAAATTAACATTACTCGTTCAGCACCTCATAAGAAACATTCATGTCATGTTTGATTTCATTCCATTCAGTGTTTCTCTAAAAGAAGACATTTGTATGTATTTCCCGTAGGGTCCAATGTTAAACTAAGTCCCCTGCTGGCGGCCATCTTGGATTATGGATCAACTTCATAGTAACAACACTTGGTCAGCACCTCATAAGGAACATTCATGCCATGTTTGGTTTCATTCCATTCAGTGGTTCTCTAAAAGAAGACATTTGTATGTATTTCCCATAGGGTCCCATGTTAAACTAAGTCCCCATCTGGCAGGCATCTTGGATTATGGATCGGCTTCAAAGTAACAACACTCGGTCAGCACCTCATAAGGAACATTCATACCATGTTTGGTTTCATTCCATTCAGTGGTTCTCTAAAAGAAGACATTTGTATGTATTTCCCATAGGGTCCCATGTTAAACTAAGTCCCCCGCTGGCGGCCATCTTGGATAATGGATCAGCTTCAAAGTAACAACACTCAGTCAGCACCTCATAAGGAACATTCATACCATGTTTGGTTTCATTCCATTCAGTGGTTCTCTAAAAGAAGACATTTGTATGTATTTCCCATAGGGTCCTATGTTAAACTAAGTCCCCCACTGGCGGCCATCTTGGATGATGGATCCGCTACAAAGTAACAACACTTGGTCAGCACCTCATAAGGAACATTCATGCCATGTTTGTTTTCATTCCATTCAGTGGTTCTCTAGAAGAAGTTCAAAATGTAAAAAGTTAACGACGACGACGGACGCCAAGTGATGAGAAAGGCTCACTTGGCCCTTCGGGCCAGGTGAGCTAAAAAGGGTACACAATATTATCTATCAAAATACAAGAAAGAGAGAGATTACTAACATATTCCCATACAGCATGTTTACGTTGGGCCAACATTGTACCGTTGGTTGAATGTAGGTGTTGGCATACTAGCATTTGTCCAACATTGGCCCAGTGTTGGATAAAGGTTGTACCCTTGGTTGAATGTAGGTGTTGGCATACTAACAGTGGTCCAACATTGGCCCTGCATTGGATAAAGGTTGTACCCTTGGTTGAATGTAGGTGTTGACATACTAACATTTGTCCAACATTGGCCCAGTGTTGGATAAAGGTTGTACTGTTGATTGAATGTAGGTGTCGGCGGCATACTAACAGTGGTCCAACAATGGCCCTGCATTGGATAAAGGTTGTACCGTTGGTTGAATGTAGGTGTCGGCGGCATACTAACAGTGGTCCAACAATGGCCCTGCATTGGATAAAGGTTGTACCGTTGGTTGAATGTAGGTGTTGGCGGCATACTAACAGTGGTCCAACATTGGCCCTGCATTGGATAGAGGTTGTACTTTTGGTTGAATGAAGGTGTTGGCATACTAAGATTTGTCCAACATTGGCCCAGTTTTGGATAATTGTTGTACTGTTGGTTGAATGTAGGTGTTGGCATACTAAAATTTGTCCAACATTGGCCCAGTGTTGGATAAAGGTTGTACTTGATGGTTGAATGTAGGTAGAATTGAGAATGGAAATGGGGAATGTGTCAAAGAGACAACAACCCGACCATAGAACAGACAACAGCAGAAGGTCACCAACAGGTCTTCAATGCAGCGAGAAATTCCCGCACCCGGAGGCGTCCTTCAGCTGGCCCCTAAACAAATATATATATACTAGTTCAGTGATAATGAACGCCATACTAAACTCCAAATTGTACACAAGAAACTAAAATTAAAAATAATACAAGACTGACAAAGGCTAGAGGCTTCTGACTTGGGACAGGCGCAAAAATGCGGCAGGGTTAAACATGTTTATGAGATCTCAACCCTCCCCCTATACCTCTAGCCAATGTAGAAAAGTAAACGCATAACAATACGCACATTAAAATTCAGTTCAAGAGAAGTCCGAGTCTGATGTCAGAAGATGTAACCAAAGAAAATAAACAAAATGACAATAATACATAAATAACAACAGACAACTAGCAGTTAACTGACATGCCAGCTCCAGACTTCAATTAAACTGATTGAAAGATTATGTCTTCATCATATGAATATCAGGCACAATCCTTCCCGTTAGGGGTTTAGTATCATACCATCATAACATATATGAGAAGAACATAACCCGTGTCATGCCAACAACTGGTTTTTAAATAAATGTGTTTAGTGCCGATGCAAAGACCCTATAAGTGAATCAATATTAACGCCAAAATATGCAATCTTTAATGACCTGACAACAGTATCGTAACTATATCCCTTCTTAATAAGTCTATTTAAAGGTTTTGTTAGCTTCAGAGGTGAATACTGACATTTTTGTGCTTTATAAAGAATATTTCCATAAAAAATTGGATGTGAAATACCCGAAAGTATAAGAAGTCTGCATGTTGAGCTATATTTACGAATGATGTCCTTATACCGATGATAAAATTTAGTAAATGTTTTGACTAGTTTGTGATATCGAAAACCCTGGTGTAATAATTTTTCAGTAATACATAAATTTCTCTCGTTAAAATCTAAAACATTGTTACATACACGAGCGAATCGTACAAGTTGAGATATATAAACACCGTAAGATGGTGACAAGGGAACGTCACCATCTAAAAATGGATAATTAACGATAGGAAATGAAAAATCATCTCTTTTATCATATATTTTAGTATTAAGCTTTCCGTTAATGATATAGATATCAAGATCGAGGAA